CTTTTCTTTTTTGAAATAAAAAAAATAATAATATATAAGCATATTAAATTCAGGTTTTTTTTTAAAAAAAAATTATATATAGTACCAGGGAAAATCGAGAGGATATAAAATGTTAACTTGTGTCTTACGTGCAGTAATAGTTCAAGTGTTCTGGAAATCTTACTCTTCTTCCAGAACGCGTTGTTTTGAGTTTATTTTCGGATACTGTCGAAGTATCAACGTGTGTGTCTGCTGTCGATTGAGGTATTATAAGTGCAGGAGTTGTGTCGTGCGATTGTATTGAAGGAAAATCGACGTGAATAGGATTTCCTTCTATATACGCTGCTTTGAGGCGATCGATACTGATGCTTTCTTTGGTTCCGTTCTTATCGATTATATAGTACTTAGATTCGCGTTAAAGAACTTTGAAAGGTCCTTCATATGTTGATTCGAGAGGTCGTCGATGCGAGTCTCGACGCACGAAAACGTGTGTACTATGTAGTAAGTCAGGTTGAACGAAAACATCAGTTGATTATGGTCGAGTGGAAACAGGTTTAACTGAACGCATTGCGTTTGTAAGCCTGTTCGCGTAGGAGGTTAGATCCATGTCCATCGAAGAGGATGAAGGATCGACGAACTCTCCTGGAAGTCGAAGGGTCGTACCATAAACGAGTTGAGATGCAGTGTATCCAATGTCAGATTTCACTGCATTGCGTATGCCTAGTAAGACTAGTGGAAGAGCGTCAGTCCACTGAGAAATGTTTGAGGCTGATAGTGACGCTTTTAGTTGTCGGTGAAAACGTTCTACTAACCCGTTTGCTTGTGCGAAACAGTTCAGATTCAAACTGACGTCCACGATCTGTAGTAATGGTTGTTGGGCAGCCGAAGTTTGCTACCCACCTCTCGACGAAGGCGCGGGCCACTATTTCAGCAGTAATATCTTTGATGGGTACTGCTTCTGGCCATCGAGTAAAACGGTCTACGCATGTTAAAAGATAAGAATATCCATTTGAATCTGGTAAAGGTCCTACCAAATCCAAATGAACATGGTCGAAGCGAGCATCGGGAGTTTTAAACGAGCCTAAGGGACATTTGTTATGCCCAATAACCTTAGATTTCTGGCAGCTTACACAGGAGCGTGCCCACTCCCTCACGTCTTTATTCATACCAGGCCAGCAAAACCGTTCTGCTATAAGCTTGATGGTTGCACGTACACCTGGATGAGAAAGTCTGTGCAACGTATCGAAGATGTTGCGTCGATATTGTTTCGGCACGATTGGGCGATCCCTACCTGTAGATGTGTCACAAAGTAAGGTTTCCTTACCTGTTCCCATCTGTTTAATGCGCAGTTTAAGTGTTGTTGAGGCCAACTCGTGCTGAAGATCGCTGTCTTCTTTTTGAAGTTGGGCGAGTTTTAAAAGGTCGATTCCTTGGGAACTGTTCAAGGAATTTATACGAGACAAGGCGTCTGCAACTACATTGTTTGCTCCAGAAATGTGTCGAATATCTGAAGTAAACTGCGAAATGTAGTCCAGTTGTCGAGACTCACGTGGTGAGTACTTGTCTGAAGAAGAGCTTAAGGAGAACGTAAGTGGTTTATGGTCGGTAAAAATGGTAAATTCACGGCCTTCGATATAGTGTTGAAAATGCCGGACAGCACAATACATAGCTAAAAGTTCCCTACCGAATGTGCTGTACCTCGATTCAGTGTCTAGCAACCGTCTAGAGAAAAATGCCAAAGGTTGCCAGGAATGGTTAACCCATTGTTGTAAGACTGCTCCGATTGCTGAGTCGGATGCGTCTACTGAGATGCTAATGGGCGCTTTAGGGTCCTGATGAGCAAGCATTGCTGCTCGGGCGATATGTTCCTTAACCGTGGAGAATGCTTTTCGGGTAGTGTCATCTAGATTAATGGATTTCGCATTTCCACGAAGTTGGTCGGTAAGGGGTTTCATAAGTAACGCGCATTTCGGTATGAATCGTCTATAAAAACTTACCAGACCGTTAAACGTGCGTGATTGCTTGATGGTGGTCGGTTCTGGATAATCCAGAATGGCCGCCACTTTTGTTCTAAGGGGTCGAATGCCATGCGCATCTATAGTGTGTCCTAAGAAGTCTAAGGATTCGGTTCCGATTTGGCATTTCTGAATGTTCACGGTAATGCAATGTTTTTGTAGTCGGTCGAAAACAAGGTCCAGATGCTGGAGATGTGATTCTCTGTCCGGACTTGCTATTAGACAGTCATCAACGTATGCATGTACGAAGTTGAGACCTCGAAAAACGTCATCTATGAACCTTTTGAAAGTCTGTGCCGCGTTTCTCAGACCGAAAGGCATTCGCAAAAATTCATCGAGTCCGAAGGGCGTTATAATAGCGGTTTTTGGAATGTCTTCAGTGGCCATGGGAATTCGGTTATAAGCTTTTACCAAGTCAATTTTTGAAAAGACAGTTACACTTTTCAAGGTAGCTGTCAAATTGTGAATGTGGGGCAACGGGTAACGATCGGGAATGGTTTTTGCATTCAATCTCCGATAGTCACCAGTTGGACGCCAATCGTTGCTGTCCTTTTTAGGCACCATGTGCAACGGAGATGCCCATGGGCTATTTGACGGTCGTATGATTCCTAAGTTTATCGTATGGTCGAATTCGTTTTTCGCCAAGCTTAACTTTTCGGGGTCCAGTCGGCGTGCTTTCGAGAAGACAGGTGGTCCTGTAGTCGTGATGTGATGTGTAACACTGCTAGTTACACACGGCAATTTCGGTTGCGATTGGTAAATGCCAGAATATTTATCGAGTAGTGGTTGGTAGAAGGGGTCTATAGTGTGCTTAATAGTGACTGGGGATAACCTGCAACCAGAAAAAGCAGTCACGCAAACAGATAAATTAGTGTTTCCGTCTACTAACCTCCGTTTGCGCGTATCCATAATTAAGTTGTGGTGTTGTAGAAGGTCCATACCAATGATTGGCATAGAAACATCTGCAACAACAAAAATCCAGTGAATGGGTTTGCGTAAACCCACGTTAAGATAAACATACCTTTGGCCATACGTAGCGATAGGCTTTCCGTTTGCCGCCTGTGGATTTAAAACGGGCTCGTGTAAGAAATATATGTACATACTGTAATCAGTTCAACCATTATCAGTGTTCACTTACTGAATAAAACCTTCCATAAGCCATTTGCTGCAGCAGTGTTGTGGAAAAGATAATGGAATTTATAAAGGTCAAAACCTCAAACTCTGATGTTGTATAGGAGGCCAAACACTCGATGGATAAAACAGTTGATGGTGTTAAAATTTAAGGGTTGATAATGTTCCATCGGAAGAAAATTAAGTTATGAGTAACTTCCGGCAATTATTTATAGACTTTTATTATATTTATATTCTTACCGTCTAACTATTATGTAACTAGATTATATTCATTTATATTTCCTTTCGAACAAAATTTTATTTGACCTGAAAGAAAACGAAAAAAAGGAATGGCCAAAGAGCACGCTGCACCGGGGATTGGAAGCAGACATCAAAAAATGTAAAGAAACTGGAAACAGATGGAAAGGATTGACCAGGACAGAGTCCGATGGAGATTGTTGGTGTATGGCCTATGCACCTCCATGATGGGTAACAGGTGATGGTAAGTTTTATTTGACCCACTGACTACTGTTTGACGATTTACTATTTCTAAGTTATTCTCAATTTATTAGTTACAGTCTCCCACACTCACGGCTACTTTTAGAATAATCCTGTATAACTTTTATTTTCCATTTTATGGCGTGATACATTTTTATTCGCTTGTGTATGAACTACGTGTTTGAATTACATAGATCATTTAGTGGAAGGTGTTCTTAACTCAAAGGGCATGGAAACGCACAAAGAACCAATAGGGACCCAGAATTGACTCCAGGCTGCTTGCACTGGTTAACGCGTCGCCGGTTTCGCCGTGGTCATATAATGCGGTGTTCGGATTACTGATTTTGTCATGTGGTATAATAATAGGGTAGAAGTCATGACAAATAACTGTTTTTTGTCTCTTAGTAGAGTTGACTTCTTCAAAGAATTGTGCGGGACTTAAGGTTGTGAAAGTAGCCAAAGCTCTTCGTCTAGAAAAGTACGACCAGACTTGAGAAGTCCTTAAAAAAGTATTTAATTTCGCCTGTCTTTTTCTGTGTTATGGAACTTAGGATTATGCTTATCATCTGTCATCCACGTTTATGCATGCTCACATAAATTGATTTTAAAACATCTCGATGGGAGTGAATGCGTGAAAGATGGACTTTAAAAATATTTTTTCGACAGGACTATAAAACAAAATCCAGCTTGGTGTCGGCTGAAATGCCACAGATAATTGTCTGATCGTAAAGTGAGATGCACTCATGAAGTTTCATGAAGCAACTCTTATGAGCTATTTTAAACTTTTGCTAACATCTAACTAGTAATTTCGAAAAAAATATTCATAATGACGCCCATTTTTAAGGTGATAGTGTGGGGGCAGTGAAAATTAACTGATTTTCGAGTTTCTAACCAAGAGTATTCTGATTTGGTGAACTACATATCGTCCTCTCCATAAAGTCACCGAATAATTCATGACTTTAGAATAGACTATCACCTTTAGGTCACAAAAGTGCCCGTCCATGAGCGCACTTTCTTATGTACGGGACATGCAGAGAACATGAATGAACCTATTCTAAATGGATCCAGCGGTGCCGCTCTATGCACCGCGAAAATGAGGAAACAAATCAGTAACTTATTTAAGACCTCAGTAATTGACATTTACTTCAGTTCCAATATAAATGAAGGAGATTAGTATAAGTGTTCTTCTGTGATCACCGATTATTTACTAATATTTCGACTTTTCATGTTCATGAAAAATCAGAGCCGGTGATTTTCTCAGAAACGTGTCTTTAAGTCTAGATGTGAACTTCAAGTAGTTAATAATTATTTAGTCATCCCCATGAGTTTGAAGTAAATAGATTATTGAGTATTGAAAAGGCTAACAATTAGCTGTGTGCGCTACATGTTACTATCAAAATGCCTGTACTCGAGTCTCTTATGCTCGGTGAGAAGACAGCAGTTGTTTTTGATATAGGCTCAGTTTACACCAAGTATGCATTTTTAATGTAATTAACAAGATTGAAAGGTGTGGTTTCGCTGGAGAAACTGGACCGAGGTTTATTATACCAACAGAGATTACTTTGGTTTGGCGAACTTGTAAAAAACATTAATATTTTCAGCCCACAGGTGAAAAAAGAAGTATATCCTCATGTGATGGAAAGGATAAAAGACGAGAGTTTTTGACAACGTTTCTTTACAACATATACTATCGGTATGATCATCAAAATTTATTTCACACTTTGTAGACATTTGTTGGTAAACCCAAAGGACAGACGAGTTGTTGTAGTTGAAAGTGTCCTATGTCCTTCATCATTCCGTGAAGTTTTGGCCGACGTTTTGTTCAATCATTTTGAGGTAAAATACTAAATGCAGATATATTTTTGGTATGATATAGGCACCTTCTGTACTTTTTGCTACTTCCCACTTGATGGCACTATTTACTCTTGGGATTTCGTCAGCTGTTGTATTAGACTGTGGTTATATGGATGCTCAAGTTCTGCCTGTAACAGATATTCGCCCTCATCCTAACGTTTCTAGGTTTATGAAGGTTACACACTACTAAACGCTTGGCAGTCAGCCCAGCTTGGTAGCAAAAGAATTCATGAGTATATTTCGTGTAATATATAGTAATGTCCATTAACTTCAGAAACATCAGGGGCTACCTAAATGAGAATGCCAAGTTGGTGGATGTTATCAATGGGGAGTCGCAGTTAACCCCATGTCCAGATTGTTTTATTTCGGAACATATCGTTGAAGATATAAAAGGTGGAGTGTCACTCATATTTGCTTACTCTTAGTTCGTACGTGTTTTGTTAGTCCACACAATAGGGCGATCCAGTGGAAGGCTTGGAAGGACTCTGCTGAATCATCGGTCACAAAGCCCAACTTGTATCAGGAAACATTTATTTTCCCCCTAGACAAGTTAGGAAACGAAAGGCCAATTCAAGTTGCATCAGATATTCGAGAGTTGGCAGTCGAATGTTTGTTTGCTGGAGACAATGATGAAATTACAATTACAACACTAATTTTACGATCAATTTTGTTGGCACCTATTGATATTAGAAGGTATTTAATCTTATTAACTTTACTCTGCACATGAATCTTCCAATTTCTTGTAATGCAATGCCCTAGTCATTTTGTATTAATTTTTAAGCATTTTTGTACGTAAAATCAAGTTAACCTCTGAACTAGACTCAAGATGCTTTTTGTAATATGAGTGGAATACTGGTGGTGTATTTAAAGGTTTCATCTTCACTTCCAGTTAGAATATTTGATGTATGACTTTGTATGTAGTTTGCACACTCAGTGAGTACATGCAAGCCGCAATAATACATTGATTTCTAATGAAAACTGTCGTTGAGATAATCAGGTCCCAAATTATGTGCTTTGTATTTCAACATAAGTATATTTATATTTTTATACTCATTAATTAATTATACGTTTGTTTGCTTAGTTGGTGACCAGATACTAAGAAAACTAGATATCGTAATTTTCTCTATCATAAAAGAGGAATGGAGGAGTTTGACCTCGCCACTGCACCAGTAGGATGGTGGATCATTTTTAAGGGTTCGAACCGTGTTTCATATATTCTGGTTTTTTCCAGAACTTTGGTTACGATCACCATGCACTTACACTGTAGTCTATGTATATATATATATGCATATATATATATATATATATATATATATATATATGCATATATATTTGGTGCCCCCCTGTACCAATAATAATGTGTTCAAATAAATAAATAAATAAATAAATGTATCCTAGCCAGGCTACTTTTATTGTCTCTTGAACACCTAATAAATGATATCTGATTTTGTGAAACAAACAAAACTCACTAGTTAATAAACTGCCTTGTTGTAATATCAGTTGGTGGTGTCTCAAACTAACTTTGTTAACTTCTTATAATTGGAGCTAAATTTATAGAGGGATCTTCCTAAATTGCAGAAATTATTACGTATTAGCTTCAAAGGGTTGAATATACTACTTTGCAGGGTATGAGTACCTCAATAATGCAACAAAGACTAGCAGGCTCTAGGTGGCGGTGACTTATTCTCTGTGACAATCATTCTTCATCTAATTGGCCGTAGGTTCAAACCCTAAATCACCTAGTTCGATTCAAACGCTGGTGGTGGCACTGGACCACACATGGTGCGTGATTCAAACCTAAGTATTAAAGCTTTTATTTGGTTTAGACTAAGTATCTTGGTTATTGTTCGCTTTTTCACTTCTAAGACGTTTGTTTTGGTTTTTTAGACAGTCCGTCAGTTTTTGCTGACCAATATTGCATTGTAATAAACTTTATAAGGTCTTGGGAAAGTGGATTTGAATGTTGGTGTTACACCTCACTAGTTAAGAGCTATGGGCAACATTGCCTGAATAAATATATACTTCTTGGTGTTCAACTTGATTTTCTATAGCCATTTCCACTTGATACATTGTTTTACAGTGGTCTTTTCCATATGACAGGAAGTTGGCAGAAAATATTGTACTTATTGGTGGCACAACCATGCTACCCGGCTTCGTATCTCGTCTAATGGAGGAACTCAATTCACTTGTCGAACTTCCTGAGTTCTCAAAGTTACAAGCTTTAAAGGGATCTTTTAAATTTCACAGCCCTCCTGGTGAAGCAAATTACGTAGGATGGCTTGGTGGTAGGTTTTTAAATTTTGTTGCTAATGAACCTTCATATGATATTATTTGTCCTAATTTTGACAATTTCTTTATTTTTCAATCCATACAAATAGTTAGTTATTGCTCAGCTGTTTCTCACAAACAAATTATTTTTCAAACTACCATTTTTTATTCTCTACGTTATTTAACTCAGGCTCGTATTTTTTGGAGTGGGTTGTAGACCAAGAATGTAAAATGCTCACGAGCTTGAAATTTGTAGGAAGTTATAACTATAGTTCTGAAGGATATGTGTTGCGATAGACTAAACTGGAATTATCAGGACTCGTAGACTTGGTTTTTTTAAACTAGTGTACCTGCCAATGCCGTAATTGTAGATGAAATAAAATGAATATTTGTTCGTAAATATCAGTTTATGACACCACACTAATTCATTTTATTTAATTATTTGGACACATAAATATTGGTACAAGGGGGCACCAAATATATATGCTCCACAAAACAATGAGAATGGGGAGAGAGAAAAAAAAAAGGTAAGGAGCGTAAAAGAAGCAACCACTTTTTATGAAGAAAGTGAAAGAAGGTTACAGCAAGATCGCCACTGGCTTTTATTCTGAGCCATACATGATAACGTCTCTAGCCACTGTGTTACACCGTCTCTCGGACCCCAGCCAGGGAGTCGTGAAGGACCAACAGAAGCTAGCCCTTTGCAGCTTTCTTTCATACCACGACACTATGTCATACACTGACCACCTCTACGCTTTTTCCGACCAGTCCCAGAGTCGGCAAATAATGCACGACGTGGGATTCTCTGGGACGACATTCGTAGAACATGTCCAAGCCACCGAAGTCGGTGTTTCAAGATGGTGACACCAATTTCATTATCGTCTCTGTGACCGAACACTCGATGCCGAACCTCTGCATTACTGACATGGTGTTGCCACTGAATGTCAGCAATCCTTCGGAGACAACGATGATCGAACACAGAGAGTCGTCTAACATCCTCAACTCGGAGAGGCCAGGTTTCACAAGCATAGAGCAAAACTGCTTTCACCGACGCGTTGTAGATCCGATCTTTTACAGCCAGACTGACATCACGAAGGCGCCAAAGATGGACCAGATTGGCATAAGCCGCTCTGGCTTTCACTATACGTGCATTGATCTCACCACTCACGCCACCACCAGCACTTATGCAGCTACCTAGATACACGAACTTCTCGATTACTTCTATCTGCTCACCACCCAGGGTGAGTACAGGATTACAGTTCTTCCAGTCTTGTGAAAGTACTTTGCACTTTGAAGGTGCAAAGCACATACCATACCTACGGACACTGATTGCCAACTGATTAAGTGCGGATTGCATAGCTTGGGCATTCTCGCACAGTAAGACAATATCATCCGCATACTCAAGGTCGAGAAGTCTTTCTCCAGGCAACAGATCCACACCACCATTACTTACATCCGTCAGAGCTGTTTCCAGAATGTCATCGATGGCAAAGTTGAAGAGGAATGGTGAGATTGGGCAACCCTGTCTAACCCACAAGGCAGTGGGGCATCGTGAGGAGATGCAGTCCCATGGTAGTCGGTGACCAACGATTGGTTCATACGCTATTTGTTTCCTCAGGATACTGGAGCGCAGGTGCACCATTGGTTTAGGATCCGGTTAAAGCGCCGGACATTCGCTTTTTGTCCTCTCATTTTCTTAAGGAACACCCCTGCCACGAGAAGGCAATGCATAGGGATTCCCTGGCAGATGCTGTATACGCGTGACCATGTGAAAGCATTTCGAGAGGGAGGGCCCTCCTCACTCTCGGCCATACCAGGGCATTTGGGGACCCACATTATTTCTCATTAGTATGTTTTTATCGGCACTCATTAAATCATGTAAGGAATAAATTCAAGTTGATGTACCTCATTTTCTCTCTACAGGAGCAATTTTCGGTGCTCTTGAATGTCTACCAGGACGTTCACTGAGTCGATCTTGTTTTTTGGAAAATGGTTTAGTTCCAGACTGGTGTACCCAAATTGATCAGAAACATAATGATCTTGAAAGGCAGGATACTACCCGCCAGTGATATCTAATATGGATTTGTATTAAATCAACCATTACGTATTTATCGTTCAGTAAATCTATTTCCTTCTAAGCGTCTGTTAACTTTCTCTTTGTTTACAACTTCATGGAACAACTTATTTTTTGGTAATTTTATTTCCAGACCAGCTAATACCTTAATTACTTCCTGGTTTTGTCAGTTGGGTTGGGTGCTTTGGGTTTCAGAAATAAATTATTTTCAAAACTTATGACTTTTGGCTACACCATTTTGGTGAAACTCTGTTTCTGTATTGTCGTACTTTTAGTTTAAATGGATCATATTAAACGTAGATACACGCTTACCGATTTCAATTTGAGAAGTTTTACATTTTACTACTGGGTGACTTTGAAAAAAGTCTAAAAATTACTTTTCTAGTTATTTGATCAACACCACAGAAAAACAAACGCTCGGTTATTATCGTTATTTTTAGGTATTAGTTGAAGAATTAGAAGTGCTTAAAATGTGAATCATTGATTGTTGAATCGACACTTATAATTTCATAAAAAGGTATTTATGCAAATGATTTGAATTAGGCATCTGCTTTTTCCCACCAATTTACAACAATACATTTTCTGAAACGCTTGGTATAAGATTTTTGTTTGGGGAGAGGGGAAAGAGTAATAGATCTTTCATTAAATTTGGCCAAACACAAAAACCTATTCATATAATAATCCTTCAACTTTAAGTTCTTATTAGATATGATACAATTTTAGCTAATTCTTAGCTTTTTATATATATATATATATATATATATATATATATATATATATATATATATATAATTATTATTATTATTATTTTAACACATAAGTATAGGTACAGGGAGGCACCAAGTACATATGCGCCACACGAATCTCAAATGATTTGTGTGAGGGCTGTGATACTGCCCGGGTGCCCAAACCGAAGCAGGCGATTTTCTTAGGGGGCCACACCCCGACCCTTCGACCTGAACGTCTGACCCACAAGGCAGTAGAGCATCGTGAGATGCAGTCCCATGGTAGCCCGTGACCAACGATTGGTTCATACGCCATTTGTTCCTTCAGGATACTGGAGCCCATGTTCACCATTGGTTTGGGGTCCGGTTAAAGCGCCGGACATTCGCTTTTCGTCCTCTCATTTTTGTAAACAACACCCCCGCCACGAGAACGCAGTGAGTAGGACTTCCCTGGCAGAGGCTATATACGCATGGCCATGTGAGAGAGCGGACTCTCTCCACTCTCGGCCGTACCAGGGCATTTGGGGGCAATAGGAACAATAACGGGGCGGATTTGCATGCATATAGCATACAATTCTCTTTGAACCTAGCACACGACAATAGCATCATGCACTGTCCCATCGCCCTTGGCAGATCAGGCAACTCAAACGTTACGAGAACACCATCAGGGCATACGACAGGCTAGGTACCCCGGTCAGGGAAATAATAACCACTGTAGCCTAGGGTAATAACCACCAAGCCAGGGTATTATATATATATATATATATATATATATATATATATATATATATATAATTGGTAGGGATACTTTGACTGATAACAACTAGATAAATTTGATCACAAAGTCTCTGTTTAATCATCTTAAAATAGTCCCGAACAAATAATCACATGCACCCTCCTGGCTAGTTTGAGGGAGCATTTACAGGAAATTCACTTGCTTTTACACATCAAACTAATCTAAGTATTCAGTTGAGACCTGGTGCGCTGATGAGAATTGTGTATGGTAAAACTAATGGGGTTTGAAATCTCACTACATTCATTGATAATTAACATTTCAGGTATTCAATGTAGACATGGTTCTTGGTGAGCAAACTGTAGAATGTTTATTAAGTTTTATTAATGACTGTCTATCGCAAGCGACCAGTATCTAGGGAAATACTTAGTACGAATACTTGTCTTAAACTTAGAAACAAAAGGATAACTAAAAAATAAATACTCTATGAATTGACAAACTATTGATTTATCTTATCATTTCAGAAGCGATGTTAACATGAAAGTAGAGCGTTGAGGTAAGCATATGATTATTAATTTAACAGAAGATAGTTGAATTAATTGTTACGGTGTTTAGAAGGCCAATGTAGTATGGTAACTTCACAATTCAATGACTTCATTATAAAACCACTGACGGACTGTTGACATTGGGTAATTGAGATAGTTTTCTACGATCACAATAACCAGAGGTCTGAAACTTTCAGTGTAAAGTTGCAGAATCATTTTGTTTCAAAGACAACAGCTAAGCTGATAATCCTGTGTAACACCACATTAATAATTCAACTAAACGAATGAACATAAAAGCATCAATCGGCCATATTATAGCAATCGATCGAACATGTTACATAGGCAATGTTAAACCTTTCATAGAATAACAATAATATTAAACACCATACACAGACAAATTCGATGTCCAATAATAATCATCGAATCACATGGATATTACTAAAAAAATGAAGCCAAATAATAACGAGAAATTAAAATAGACAGTGAAAAGCAGTTACATGACTGATAGGATAAAATAATAATGCACAAATAACGGATAAGAATATTCATATATTACTGACTAGAATGATTATTATCATTATCATTTAAATTAATCGAATCAGGTTAAGCGTAAGAAATAAAACTGAGAAACGTTTATTTGTTTTAACTATTATTGTTGGGAGAGTTAAGGCTATGGTGGAGGGGAAATTACGCTTACTACACAGAGTATTCAGATAATATAGTGAAATTGTATTTATACAGTAGACTTTCATTAAAAACAGATATTATATTTGCTAAACAGAATTGTTTTACATCAGCATTAACTAATGGTAATAGGATAAGCGTATTAAGCAAGGCTATAGATAATAATATATTAATGCACAGATTTGAAATATAATTTGGTATTGTTGTATCTTCATTAGTAGGAGCTTTAAAGCAGGAAGACATACACTATGTTCTTATTAGTTATATATTTTCCATACGAATATATTAAAGGTTAAAAATCATTACTAAATGACTACCAACTATTTAAACATTTTTGTATGAAGTGGGAAGATGTATGAAAGCGATTTTTTTGACTATCAAGTCGGATAAGTTTTATACAGGGATCGAGTAGGTAGCATACAATACATTTTTGATTAATTTTGTTTTTATATCACATGTGATATGGTGAAGCAATGTTGAACTTCCACTATTATTATTAGTAGTATGTATATGCGTATAAGTTTTCGAAAGGTATATATATGTCCGTATGCGAACAAAGTAATGACTTATCAAACCTTGTAAAACAGAATAAGACGATTGGTTATTTTTCTTTGGTTGACAATTCAAGTATACGTGCTAATTCTTCATCTTCAGCTCGGCGACGTTTTTCTTCAAGTTCTTGTTCAATACGAGATTCTTCTAAAGCTTTCATATAGGCTGCATCCGCACTTGTTACAGGAATCTCAGCACCGTCAAGACTTAAACTGGCTGCAATTGCTCTATAAGAAACAAAATACTGAAATAATCCCACTAAGAATATGCGTATTCATCATATCTAAATGTATGAAAAATCTCATTCCGAAATGTCATTTACTACCAAGGCTATTTATTCATGGAGGTAAAACGATTTTACTTGGAACTATGAATGTTTAAAAAAGTTCTACAATATAATTTGTGAATCATCAATTGAATCAAATCATACCAACAAATTACAGCTAAATAAGGGAAAATGAAAAGGCTTAGAGTAATAATTCATGTACTTTAAAATACAATCAATGTTTGAATTAACAATACTAATACATGGTGTTCTTGAAAACAATTAAGTGCTTCTAACTGCAAGGCTATTTAGAATAACAGGAAACTTAGTTGTATTAATTTGAAAAGGTAATAATCAAATATCCAATGAAGTTAAAGTGCTAATTTGTCTGTTTGAGCAGACACACTTTTTCAGATTCAATTTGGGAAGAGTATTCACAACTAAAAACAATGGCTTCACACAACCAGAATTAATTGAAGATGTCAAGGATGTTCAATTGTATAATCTGAAATACTGTTTAGATAGATGATAACTTGTAAAAATAAACATCACGTATGATTTTTGTTTATGGTTTTGTGATTTCCTCATCACACACAAATGTAGAAGAACAATCGATAAAGGGTATTTTAAAAATGATACTTACATGCAGTATTTCTATTTGGCAAAAAGCTGGATCCTGTGAAACCTCGGTTGATTTATTTCAACTTACATGTTAGCGACACCAAGATAGATGAATTCGAGACCAAGTCATATCGTGACTAGCCTATCTACATTTAATTCCAAACTATATTACCAGTGATAACAGCGCAAGAAACACAGTACTACACAACGGGATGATGCCAAGTGTAAAAAGTAAACATGCTTTAATTTTAAGTCATCATCTATGGATCACCCGTTTAATGCTTTATCAGAATGCGTTACAAAGACTAACAGGTAACTAGATCTCTTTTTTATGTCAACTACTATTTAAAATCTCGTTAATTTAATTCAGTTACTTATTTATTCTGAAAAAGTACCTTGCACTAAGTCACAAGACGTTAGAAATTCTAATTTCTGCTCATTGGAATATCCCTGATGTATAATTATTTTATTCCTACAATTACAAGAGCTTTATTAATTATTCATGTTTATTTATAAACTCTTGGTGCACTCGAACACAAACACGACAGAATGATAACATTATGAGGAAATATAATAGGGAATATACAATAAATGAATAAATAGGTAACGATAGGATTTAATAAAATTTATACTTTAATTTAAAAGACAAGAGAAATTCTTTTTAATTAAGAGGGCTCATCTAAACTTTATGGAAAATCTATTAGAAAACTACAGCAAGACAGTTACTGACTTCCATTCGGAGCCATATCTGATGACGTCCCAAACTTATAAGTCGCATGGTTCTTAGGATTTGAACCAGGACGTTGTGATACACCAATAGCTGTCAGTCCCATATAACTATTTTCATGAAAAGGTATCATATCACAATATAACTAACTCTTCGCATCTTCGATTCATATTCAAAGTCACCAAATAATAATGAAGCTTCTGCCGTAAATTATTCCCAAGATACCTACCTTAACTAGAGTTTCAAGGCTACGATATCAACTGAACTATTACCGCTGTGTTGGACTTGACATTATTTACGAAACAAGTGAGTAATCAATCGGAGACAAAAATGAAAGAACGTAAAGTCAATGAGCATTTTCAGTTTACGAAGGGCACGTTTCACAAGCCTGGAGTTTTAAAGCTACCATCGAGTTGTATACTGAACATTCAACAGCCAGACTACAGTCGCTCACAGCGCCAAAGATGGTCCGTTAATACCACCACCACCACCAAATGGCATTCGTCTGGAGGAGAGAAAGCAAGGCTTCAGTAACTAGGAAGTTACACAAGTGACCAAACACTAGTAGACAGCACTAAAAAAGGAAACTATTTTTGTTTGTTCAAAATCATTGTTGGATTGGTCTGAAATTCCAGGATTTATGATATACATATATTTATATAGTGAATTTTTCTGGGCGTTACCATAAAATCGATCAATTAAAGTTCAGGACGAAAAATACAGAGTAAAAGGAAAAATTCATTAATCAAAGCTGTGAATTAGAGTAAACAAGTTTGCTATTGTTTTGGAACTGAAAACGCCTCATTGAATGGCTAACCGTGGTCATTCGTCAATTTATGATGTAAACTAACTTTAAATTAAATACTACCTCCATAAACAGTGAATTGAATAAGTTCAAATGCTTACTGTTGCATCCAAGCTTCTTCTGGTTCAACGTATTCATCAGCTCTCGCCTCGACTATACCTCGTTTAGACTTAGTAAAGGGAAATGAGCAAAAAAGAACAGAAAAAATAAATGCTCAGTAATCTCAAGTTTTTTTCTGAGAAAATACTATCTTATTGCAATAAAATCTCATAAAAAAGATTATTTCATATGATAAATTAAAATAAGGTTTGAGCAAAGTTATGTGTACAAAAGATTTTCTCATAAAATTTGTTAGTTAACTTATTCTGATGCGGTTTGCATAGTTAGTTAAATTCTGATTAAGTTTTTATAGAATCGATAAAATATGACTAGCAATGGAATCCAAGATGAGCGTTTTGTTCTATTTGGGATTTGTTAGCCGGATGTATCTGCATCTTAGAGTTGGTGTTTAACTCCGGGGCTCCAACCCAGTACCGTTCGCTTCAAACGCCATCGCTTAATCCACTTAGCTACTGAGTCGAAATATCCACTCACTTATGAAACGGGTATTAGTTTTAGTTCAAGTGCATGTAGCTACATCCGCTGACGAGTACCAAATAGGATGAAACGCACATCTTGGATTCTCTGCTAGCCACATTTCATCTATTTTATACAAGCTTTTTACAATGGGGATATCGAGGTAATCCGCATTGGATGCACATATACCAACAGAGAATAATCAGATTCCAATCAAAATATCAACAATGGAATAATCCAAAAAAGGACTGTTAACACCAATTAATACTAAAAGAAAGTTCTATGTTATTATAGAACACCATAAAAGAAGTTGAATCGAGAAGTCACTGTACAATAAAACGGAGAGTGATTAGTCAACGTCTAAAAACACTGAATGAAAGCACTAAACGATCTTTATTTAAATACGTTGGTTAGGTCAATTGCATGGTTGAACCATGATCTATCAAATACTAATAGTGAAATAAAATATATATTCATCCAGTCATATCAAACTTCGATTACACTTGAAAAGTCATACACGATATGACAAAACTTAAGTAGTGTTTAGTGATAATTTGAAATTTTTAGAAGTGTAGTCTTTTGAGCAGTTTGAATTCAGTTTACCTTTTATAATTGTCAGAAAAATTTACTTCATAACTTTATGACATATTTCGAGGTGGTGATTTGTGTTATTTTAGACAAAGTACTATACATCAATTAGATCTCAGTAAACTTATAAAGATAACGATTTTTTTCAAATGAATAAAAGATGAGAAATCGTTTTGAAGGGACCTACCAATGAATAATCTCTTTGTATCAAATTTTCCGATGATCCATATTCTACTAAACTTCGTTGAACAGCCATTTGAACCATTTGTTCTTCATCATACAAAGCTCCATAGTGTCCAGGTGAATTTTCAACTTTACAAAATAAAAGTTATTTTTTGTTTTAAAGAAATAGTGACTCATTAAGAGAGTTTTAAGTAAATTTATCATTATATTAGTGCTGTTCCCTAATGTCTATCTCTATTTTTGACCGTTTAAGCTTAAAACTTGATAAACGTTTACAATCAGTTGGAGTTAAGCAACTGTAGATAACTTAAGATTTGCTATGATTGTGTACCCGTTAAAACTACCATACTCCATACACTAGTGGAACGAGATAAGCAGAGGAAGGGGTATAATATTATTAGTTGAAATGGGAAGCTAACAGTAAGAAATCTACTTCAAAAGCGAATAAATTGGACAACAATGAGTTAATGTGGATAGAAGTATAGAATATAATTTACAAGTAATGATCAGAATGGAACGGCTAACTTCATCAGTGAATTTCACGTAATACTATTGAGTATATGAAATGAATTTCGTGTTCTTTTGATAGGAATCATAAAACATTAGTTCAACTTCGAAAAGCTCAAGAATTTGTACTAATCAACTCTGTGCAGAGTAGTACACTCATAGTTATCTTTTGTAACTGCTTTTTCGTCATTGATTTTTAAAAATACTACAAAGTAAGTAACATATATATATAGTGACTTAGGTAGTGAACGATTCAATTTATTATTTTTTTCCATCAATAAATTCAAGTTAGCAAGTAAGTAACAGAACAATACTGACTAATAATAAGCCATTCATTTTTTATCTTCCTTTAACTTCTAACACTATTCCCACTTTACAAAGTAGGGAGTTAACAGGCCTAAACCAGCCTTCACGTTTTATTCAATATAAATAATAAATCGTTAATTTTGTAAAGATTGAAGACCTTAGTACCAAAGTACTTCTATTTTAAATCATTTCTCTTGTTAAAGAAAAAATGCAGCGATTGCATATAATGACCCAGAGGAGTTTCGTATGTGTGTGTCCGTTTTCTTATGAAGTAAATCAGTCGTAGTGTGGTGTGTGCTACTGATGTCGACAGATATAAGTAGTATGTATCATCAATCGAAAGTGAAATGTATAGAGGCAGAAGGTTAAGAAAATAAAAAAAAACAGAACAAGAACAAGCAATGATTGGTGTAGAAATGAAAGGACAATAAATTTTGAGGCGATTGATTGACATTTTTCAAATGAAATATTTACTGTATGGTTCTCAGATTTTACTATGATGTTTTGTAATTTTGTGTTGTCCCTACATGAGGTCTCGTTCACTACAGTAGTACAGTGCTTAAGTATGTTTGTTGCTATTTTGATTCACAGTTGCTGTATGATACTTTCGCGGACGCATCAATTTATTACACAAGGTTACTACTCTTCCAAAGACAGCAAATCTAAGCACGTTTCATCCACATTTATATTCTATCTTAATGTATACAGTTTAAAATAGTCAATAAATCATTATATAGACAATAGAAAAGAAACTGTGAAAAGCAACATTTTAATTTACCTATCAAATGATATCCTTTGCCTACATCAAATACACTTTCATCAATAACACATTTAACTGGTTGTAATGATGAACTGGATTCCGTTGAATATTCAAGTAATGGTTGATCAGTTTGATTATCAGATGCTAATTTACTAGTTGTAGGACTATCCGTTTTCTTATGTGGGTCTGTTGAATCTGATGGATGATGCAGACCAGAGTCCTTACTACCAATAGGTACTGTAGAAACGCCATACACACTATTATCTTGACCATGTAAATTGCCAAATGAGACACATGCATTTAAGACATGATAAAGCGGAATTTCTACAAAAATTAAAATCGTTTAAAGTAATGTAGATATTTTACACAAACAACTCAGGTGTATGCAGAATGAAGAAAATTAAGTGAAATACAAAACAAATACATGGGAAAACCAACGTTCATCATTTCATCCCATAGTTAAGAAATATACTTAACCTTTCTAAAATGGATATAATCAAAATAAAGTAAACAATCCATTATCTCTCATGCCTCAGAATATTGGAAGACAACCGTATTCAAGGCAATATGTTCACTGATACATAGTTTTTAGATAGCAATTATCTCAACTATAAGAACTCAATATTAACCAACACTGATAAAAATAAATTTATGAACCAAGAGATTGATTGCACACGGTTATCAACACTGTGATCAAGTTTTAATTGCTAGCCAAAATCTCGTAGTATTCAAATGTGAGCGTCACTGGAGTTCATCGTTTTATGCAGAATTGATTTAAAAAAGGAGGTAGGTGTTTATGTGATGTACTACTGACCAATAAACTAGAAATAATTGATCTAAGGGGAAAAGTTATACGATGGTAAGCGCTTGGATTTTAAAGAGTTGAAATTAACAAAAGACATATGTAAGTAAATTTATTCATGGCATAACATAACATAATGTATAGAACAATCGAAAACCTTGGAGACGGTGAAAGTGCAGAAGCGAAACGATAATAGCTGGAATAATTTTCAGCGATCCAAGTATTCTAATGATATGTCCTGTTCTATTACATTCATGGAAATTGTTTCTGATTGGGATGATTATGAATTCTTGTGGAAATAACGTATGTGACTTCTCAAGTTCAACCTCTTTTTACGGTAGCAACGAAGCACATTCATAGAAGAAATCGGTTATTCATGTGTACGACTGGCAGTATAACATTACTTGCATTCACGGGTAATCTATTTTTCAGTAAAATGCTCTCCAAAGAATAGTCATAGTGTGATAGGATCACAATAAATAGACGACTCAGGTAATACACTCTGATTGCTTTACTGAGGCGTCAAAGTTCAATCAAAATAGTGGTGTCACTTGATACTAAAATGTACTACTAAAGAGATACATACTCCGAAAATTCGCTACGGAAGTGTGGTTTTTAGGATCTACTGAATCAGAAAATAAAATTGATTCCCACTGACTAATACATCATACTGTGAATTATTTTAAGTTGGTAAACGTATACCGTTGGCTTTTAATCTAAATACGTAATTAGTATAATGGTCTGAAAAAATTAATGGTCGTTTACTATCGTGGCTAGTTGATACCAGTATGATCAGATGCTTTACACATTTCAATATTTTTCGTTATACTGTCAGTCTCTTAAAATAAATTGTGCCTCATCCCAACACCTGAAGCCGAATACGAGAAGGCAAACCTATTTTTTTCAGGAGGGGAAGGTGACACAGTGGGTTTATTACAAGCCTGTCGACTAATAACCTCACGTGATTGATAGTAAATATATTTTTCTTATATCTCAATGAGTAGAAAAGTTATCTTTCTGATGCTTCGCAACTCAATGTAAGCCATTTATTCAGAGTAAATAAATAACCAAAATTAAATTAATGCAAGTTTAAATAATACAAAGGAAACAGTTGAAAATATTATTAGTACAATTAAAATTATGGTGGGTATATGTCAGTGTCAAGTTGGATCTATTTAAACTGTTACTGTAATAGTTTGTATGTCAGAATGTCGCTACGAAAAATTTATTTCAAACTATTAAGTCCATCATTGGTGTTGATACCTATAAAACTACGTGATTGGTTAAGAAATGGCTTAAATTGCATAAGGATGGGACATATACCATTCGCGACTCTATATATATATATAGGAATGACCATTCATAAATGCCAAATCTGATAGTCATTAAATCTTTTTCTCACTCTCAGTCTTTTCATTTGACTAGCCGGTTCGGCTCTTGTATAAGAAGATTGTGTATCAGTACCAAAATCAGACACCGCAGGTCACAAAATAAATGTAATTCAACCAAATCCATTCCTTAGTAAACACTAAATTGATAAACAAATATCTTGGACATAAGTTAGGTATTCAAACTCAGTATAAAAAATTATTCTAAAAATTTAACCTCAGCCATCAGTATTTTCTACTCCTGAAAGTAACATTGAAAAATTCGTTAGAGTTAAACCTATGAATTTTTAATGTTTTCTACACTGTTTTTTTTACGAAACATGATAACCATGTTCCAATTTATCTGATTAATGAAACAAAAGTAAAGTTGTATAATCAGTAAGTGAAATATTTGTTAAAGTGCAAAAAATATACATTTATTAGCCCAAATTATGATGATATAGTAAGAACCAAATTATGTGACACCATTATTGTGTCTGAACGTAATAGAAGATAACAGTAAAAAGTTGGTTTAATTGAAAAAGGAGTCTGTTTTCTTTACACTTCATAATTTAGAGGTCTTCTTTTATGTAACATAATCGTCAATATTTAATTTTTGATCAATGAAAATAACATGTGATTCATAACAAAGGCAAAGAAACACAGTAATAAGGCATATTAATAACTTCTATTTCCTTTATACAGGTAAACAATGAAATCGAATCAGTAGTCATGTGATGTACAAGGTAATATGTACCAAATTTTATTTTTAATTACAAAATTTTCCATCATGTTATATATATATATATATATATATATATATATATATATATATATATATATATATATACTTCAGTGTTTCCGATCAGATACGAAACTATTTCATGGTTTCGAGGGTCAATGTAACTTAGTTTGACTTCGATAAGAGCCAAATAAGAACTTCACATACACTTTTTTTATATACATTGTTAATGATTAGTAGCAATATGGCAACTCCGAAACATACATCTCAAATATCAATCGAACAATTTTATTTATTGACTTCATCAAACATATTAAATCAAAAGGAAATGTTCTTTAAGTAGTGATGAGAATACTTAAATATTAAGTCGTTAAATATGATTTGTTTGAAAGTAAGATATTTGATTTCACTGGCCAGATAACGATACATGAAATATATTTTAACTTCTAAATCTTTAATAAGAGTCAAATCGCGAAACTTTTGGTTAAAAACTGAGCAGAAAAAAAATCACTAACTTACGAATGAATAACTCAACTGCATCATCATTTAAACAAATTGCTAGTAATATAAGTGAATTTTCTATGGTCTAGTTGGTAAAGTTACGTTTGATTCGTAGTTTAGATCTTACGAGGATTTGTTGTGAACTGAATTTGAAAACTATGACAACGCATGGAGGGCATGAGTATTGCTAAGCAAACTTAGCCCTAAAGAGCATGAGAACTTGTATTTTATACTGCCATATCAAATACGTAATCGTAACTTCAAAAGCGTGGTAAAAATATTGTTTTAGATCAATCTTCGGTTTTCAATGCGCGATATCAATCCATAAAGCTTACAAGACGAGAATATGATGACTTTTTCAATTATACAGTTATTATTAATGGGGAATGCCAACGCTTCGAGTTACAATCTCTATCAGATGATCAACTCAAATATTTCATTCTTGTCTGTGGTCTATAATCTTCAAGAGATGCGGAATTCCCCACACTTTTTTGTAGTAAAATTGAGTAAGACTTCCTGATAATACTGCAAATAGTTATTGAGGAATATCAAAGATTAATGAACCTTGGACATGAATACTGTAATCCTTTAGGAATTGGAACAATCCAGTGCAATACATACTCTGGGAACGTCAAAACTATCATTCAATTACTCATGATAATTTAGTGGCTGGGAAATGCCTCACCAGCCTTTTGGCACTATTTTAGATGGGATTTTACAAAGTTTTGTCATTTTGAGAAGCACTGTTGTCAGCAACGCAATGAAATTAGATATTGAGATGAGTGTTGGAAACCATGTCTTAGAACCATCAGATGGAGAAAATGCTTCTACGCCAAGCTGCATTCAAGAGGCCTCTTCATTACATTCATGAATAATGGTGAGGCTACGAGAATTTATGTATATTTACAAATAAATGGATAGCCTACAAGAGTTCAGCTAGATACAGCATCTGACATTACCACAATATTACGTGGTAATGTTACATGTCAAGGTAAAGCTACCACCAAATCATTCCATATTATTAATGAAAAGTTAAACATGCTTGGATCTAATTGGTCTATATACCAAGTTATCAAACAATATTTTTCTTCAAGTATGGAAGAGCCCAACTCAATAATAATAATAAAGTCAAGTTATCTCAGTTTCCTGCAGTAAAGGTAAAAAAATCAAACGTGAAGTGGAATACTAGGCTGAGGTCGTGAAAGCTATTTTTCTCAGTTGTCAGAATCCTCTAAGGCCACAGGGTAACTATCCGTGCTATCTGAAAACAGATAAGCCACAGCTCTGAAGGAAACAACACAAACACTATACAATTCGGCGAGTAATGTAAACTATTTTAGAGAACCATGGGTCAAACCTAGAGGAGGTGGGAAAGGCAAAGAAAGAGCGAATTTTGGTTGGTGTTACGGCATAGTTTAATTCCAATCGAGAGTTTGGTAATCGGAGTGATTCAGATCACCAGAGACCGGGACAAAATAGTCGGAGATGAAAATTGGGACTGGAATCTTTAAGATTTTGATGGTCAAGTAGTAACCAAGAGTGGTGACCGAGCACGTTTTGCATTGCTGGGATAATTATAACGAAGTCGAGAACTCGTCGAAGTGTGTTCCAGTAGACTTTAGGGAAGTCGAGAATGTCGTCACATAAAGAAACCATAAAGGAGAACGTGAAGCTATACTTAGGAGGAATATATTGTTGTTTGCTAGTTTTCTAACTAAACAGTTTTATTAAGCAGCCAAAATTTCTGTGAAGAGATGAGGAAAAGAAACAAACTTCAAATCTTCTAAAAGGGGAGATGTTAAGAAGGAAATAAATATGCAGTTTAATGATTACACATATTTCTTGGTCAAGTAAGTATATTCATTGATTTTGCGCATTATGCATACATATTAGACTACTACTGTGGATGTCG